ATTCGTATTATATATACATATATGTTTATACACATATTCATTCGCATATGGTTCCCCAGCTGCCTCCAACAATTCCGCCACCGTGCCATGGCAGCATTTCAGGCGGCAGCTTTTCGAGAAGGTGATAGGGCCCACTGGAGGCCTCTTGGGGCAGAAGGCTCGGATGCTGAGTTCGTGTTCCCACTCTTGTGCACCCCTTGGGGCCCTCTTTGGCAGTCTTAGGCGCCCCTTGGCTTGTCTTGGCGCCTTTGGGCCGTGTTGGAGCTTTCTTGGGGGCCTCTTGAGCCATTTTGGGGGAGTCTTGGGGACCTCTTGGGCCGTCGTCTTGGAGCGACGGAAGCTCGAAAAGGCGAGAACCCGAAGAACCTTGGAAAAGCTACGGGAACTCTTTGGTGTGTGCCTCTCGGAGCCCTCTTGGGGGCCTCTCGGGACCCTCTTTGGGCCGTCTTGGTGCCTCCTGAGCCCTCTTGGTGCGGATGGCTTGACATGTCGGGTCGTCTCTTCTTGAGGCCGTTTTGGGACCCTCTTGGGCATTATTGGGCGCGTCTAGGCCCGTCTTGAAGCCCTCTTTGACCGTCTTGGGGGCCTCTTCGGGGCCTCCTGGGCCGTGTTGGAGCAGTCCTGGTGGCCGCTTGGGTCGACTTTGGACGTCGGAATTTCAAGAGGCGAGAACCCGAAAGGTATTGAAACACCCAATGAGAAGAATTGATGGTTGCCTGTCGAGGCCCGCGAGGCTCGTGGGGCTCTTCCAGGGACGCCTCGAAGACCTCGTGGGTCGCCTTGAAGCCATCTTGGGCCGTCTTGAGGCCACAGTGGCCCATCTTGGAGCGATATTGGGCCATCCTGGAGAGAAATCTGGGCCTCGGGAGTGCGAACTTGCAATGTTCTGCAAGGAATTGTGGCCTCGGGAAGAGGGGGCGATGGATTTGAGGAAGTGTTGCCAGGAGGGGGGGGCGCCCATGGGAAGCTTACGGGAACCTTACCAGACAGCACTTGACATTCTAGCACGCCTCAATGTGCCAGGAGGCATTGCACATACACACACACGCACACATGTATGGATGTCTGTCTGTCTGTCTGTATGTATGTATGCATGTAATGAATGAATGAATGAATGAATGAATTAATGTATGTATGTATGTATGTCTGTATGTCTGTGTGTATGCATGTATGTATGTATGCATGCATGCATGCATGTAGGTATGTCTGTATGCATGCATGCATGCATGTAGGTATGTCTGTGTGTATGTATGTATGTATGTATGTTTGTATGTTTGTATGTGTGAGTGTGTGTATGCATGTATGTATAAGTATATGTGTGTATGTGCGCACTTACGTATGTATGGTTGTATGCATGAATAAATGTGTGTACGTACGTGCGTACGTATGTATAAATGGATGTATGTATGTATGTATGCATGCATGAATGTATGTATGGATGTATGTATGTATGTATGCATGCATGCATGTATGATGTAGGTATGTGTGTATGCAAGTATGTGTGCATGCATGCATGTATGTATGTATGTATGTAGGTATGTATGTCTGTATGTCTGTTTGTATGTATGTATGTATATGTATGTGTGTATTTATGTATGTGTGTGTATGTGTGTATGTATGTGTGTATGTGTATGTGTATGTGTATGTATGTATGTATGTATGTATGTATGTATGTATGTATGTATGCATGCATGTATGTATGTATGTGTGTATGTGTGTGTTGCGTATGATATGTATGTTATGTATGCTATGTTATGATATGTGATGTTGCATATCCGTATGAGATGAATAGTATGCATGCTATGTATGTATGATTGTTTGTATGTGTGTATGTGTGTATGTGCGTATGTATGTATTTATGTATGTATGTATGTATGGATGGATGGATGGATGGATGGATGTATGTATGGATTTATGCTTGTATGTATGAAAGAGCGCTATCTGTGGCCGCTTGGAGGAAGGGGGGGAAACAGACCCCCCCCCCTGGATGGAGGGGGCGGGGGTTCGAACCCCCCCCCTCCCCTCCCCCTCCTTCCCTACTTCTCCTCTCTCCCTCTCCTCGGGCCAGCGCCTGCGTCGGCGGCGGCTGGCGGCGGCGGCGGGGACGACGACTTCCTTTTATGGGCCGGCGCCGGCGCCTGCGGCGGCGGGCGGCGGCGGCGAGGAGCGTCGACGAGGACGACGGCGACGATGACGACGACGACGACGACGACGACGCTCCGCCACCGTGCATTGGTTTTGGGTCAAAGTCCTGATGGATGCCTCTTGGGGTCTCGTCGGAGGGCTCTCGGGGGCCTCTGAAGAACATTTGAGCAGCCTCCTGGGCGCCTCTTGGGCGTCTCTTCGAGCCTCTCTGAGGTGGTGGTGGTGGTGGGCTGTAGTGGTGGTAGTGGTGGTGGTTGTGGTGGTGGTATGGTTGTTGGTGGTGGTGGTGGTTGTTGTGGTGGCGGTGGCAGGTTGTGGTGATGGTGATGGTGGTGGGTGTGGTGGTGGTGGTGGTGCGGTGGTTTCTGGTGGTGGTGGTGGTAGTTGTGGTGGTGGTGGGTTACAGTGGTGGTGGTGGTGGCGGTGGTGGCGTGGTGGTTTGTCGTGGTGGTGACGGTGGTGGTAGCGGTTGTGGTGGTGGTGATTGTGGTGGTGGTGGTGGCGGCGGTGGTGGTTGTGGTGGTGGTGGTTGTGGTGGTGGTGATTGTGGCGGTGGTGGTTGTGGTGGTGGAGTGGTGGTTTATGGTGGTGGTGGTGTGGTGGTTGGTTGTGGTGGTGATGGTGGTGGCGGCGGTGGTGGTTGTGGTGGTGGTGGTTGTGGTGGTGGGGGTTGTGGCGGTGGTGGTGGTGGAGTGGCGGTTTGTGGTGGTGGTGGTGGTGGGTTGTGGTGGCGGTGGTGGTGGTTGTGGTGGTGGTTTGGTGGTTTGTTGTGGTGGTGGTGGTTGCGGTGGTGGGTGGTGGTGGTGTGGTGGTGGTGGTGGTGGGGTGGTGGTGGGGGTTGTGGTGTGGTGGTTTGTGGTGGTGGTGGTGGTGGCGTGGTGGTGGTGGCGGTGGTTTGTGGAGGTGATGCTGGTGGTGGTGGTGGTGGCGATGGTGGTGGTGGTGGTGGTTTGTGGTGGTGGTGGTGGGTTGTGCTGCTGGTAGTGTGTGGTGGTTGTGTCGGTGGTGGTGGGCTAGGGTGTTTGTGGTGGTTGTGGTAGTGGTGGTGGGTTGTGGTGGTGGTAGTGGTGGTGAGGTATGGTGGTGGTGATGGTTGTGGTGGTGGTGGCTGCGGTGGTGGTGCTTGTGGGGTGGGTTGGTGCTGGTGGTGGTGGTGGGTTGTGGTGGTGGTGGTGGTGGTGGTGGTGGTGGTGGTGGTGGTAGTGGTTGGTGGTGGTGGTGGTGGTGGCGTGGTGGTTCGTGGTGGTGGTGGGTGTGGTGGTGGTGGTGGGCTAGGGTGTTTGTGGAGGTGGTGCTGCTGCTGTTAGCGGCGCTCGTGGTGGTGATAGAGGTGGGTGGTGGGTGGTGGTGGTGGTTGGTGTGGTTGTGGTGGTGTGGTGGTTTGTGGTGGTGGTGGTGGGTTGTGGTGATGGTTGTGGTGGTGGTGGCGGTGGTGGTGATGGTGGTGGTAATGGTGTGGTGATTTGTGGTGGTGGTGGTGGTTGTGGTGGGTTGTGGTTTGTTGTGGTGGTACTGGTGGTGGTGGTGGCGTTTTTGGTGGTGGTGTTGTGGTTTGTGGTGATGGTGGTGGTTGCTGTGGTGGTGGGTTGTGGTGGTCGTGGTAGTGGTTGTGGTGGTGGTGGCGGTGGTGGTGCTGGTGGTGTGGTGGTTTGTGGTGGTTGTGGTGTGGCTCTCGGCTCTTCCCGCCACCGTGTTTTGGCTTTGGGTCAGAGTTCTAATGGATGATGCCTCTTGAGGTCTCGTCAGAAGGGTCTCGGGGGAGTCTGAGGAGCATGTGTAAAGTCTCGTGGACCTTCCTCTGGGCCTCTCGGTGGCTTCTGTGGGGCGAGGGCTCGATGTGGTGATTTGTGTGTTCCCTCTGCGGCCTCTGGGTTCTCTCTGGTAATCCTCGCTGCGTCTCCGCCGTCGGCGCTGCTAGCCGCCGCCAGCGCCGGCGACGGCGCGGGGAGGGGGGTGGAGGGGTTTGGGAGGGGGGTGGGGTTTGGACCAGAGGCGTCGTCGCTGCGTCCCCGCCGTCGGCGCTGCTGGCGGCGCCGCCAGCGCCGGCGCCAGCGCCGGCGCCGAGGGGTGGGCGGGGGGGGTTCGGCAGGGGGGAGGTTAGGGGGGGAGGGCGGCCCCTATGGTTCTGATCGACGGCGCCGAGCTTTGGGGGGGGGAGCCCACCCCCCGGTTCGAAACGCGCCGCCGAATGGTCCCAAGGCAAGTGCCCGTGAAACGCATGTGTGTAAGTATGTATGCATGCATGTATACATTTTGTGTGTATACGTATGTATGAAAACAGGCAGGTAGGTAAGTATAGATGTATATGTGTATCTATGTGTATCTGCGTGTACATGTATGTTTGATGAGCGATGCACGTGTGTTGTTCTGGAGCACGAACCAAGTTGAGAGGGCGAATGAAGTAATTGGCAAAGCGAGAGAGGAGAGAGAAAGAGAGAGAGAGAGAGAGCGATCAAACAACAAAAAAGGAGAAACATGCCTGGAGCGCATGCGAATTGCCAAGGAGATTCACTGATTGTTGTCTCCCTGTTGCAACTGGTCGACCGTCCCAGGGTCCGACCAATCGGCATCCGCAGGCCGAAGATGTGAAGCTTGGCCTCGGGTCTCTGGAAGTCCGGGGTGGTCATGTTTCTGTTCCTGTGCTTCTCCTCTTGCCGACTGCACGTAAGAGTGACCCTCCGCCGGAGTGACCTTTGGTGCGGGCTCAGCGGGGTCCCCCGGATCGCTGAGCGCGATGCGATAGCGGCGGCCTGCGCCCTTGGATTTGGCCACCCTGCGCCCCCGCAGTCCGCGCACGAAAGGTCACTCTTGCCCAGGGTCGTTCTCGCGTGTGGCCGACCTTGGGCCGCCCCGAGGTGTGGGTCGGCGTGGACATGCGCGCGCGCCCTGCCAGGGACGCGGACTCCCTGAAGGTGCTCGTGGTGATCGAGCCGCCGGCGGTGCAGAGCCTGTGCACGGACGGGTTCGACCTCGTCCTGACCTGGTGGGACGAGCACCTTCGGGCGATGCCTCCCCCTCCCCCCGCTCCCCCTCCCGCTCTCGCGCAGTCCAAGAGCATCACCCGGTGATGCCTGGGCACCAGCGCACGTCTGCATATGTCTCCTCATCTTTCTCCCTGCGGGTACATCTGAGGCGCTCTCTCGGCCTCGACCACCCGCTCCCCCAAGTCCGAACGCATCGCCTCCCTCATACCTTGGCCTCCCCCTCCCCCTTCTTTCCCTCCCCCTCCCCCTTCTCCCCCTCCCCCTCCCCCTCCCCCTCTCACCCTTCCCCCTTCTCTCCCTCCCCCTTCCCCCAATCCCCCTCGACAGTTGCACAATCTTGATACTACTCTCCTCTCTCCCCTGATGACGTCTGGAAGATATCCTCCCCTCCTCCACGTATTGTTGTTTACGCAGGATTCCCAGAACGTTTTTTTTGTTTCCGCTGGGTTCTTTTCAACATGTTGTTCCCGCTGAAGCGCTGGCCTCATTTTCGGACTTCCGCTCGTTCCGAATCGTGCTCCCGCTGCAGCGCTGGCCTCATTTCCGCGGTTCCGCTCGTTCCGAATCGTGTTCACGTGCCGGCGCTGGCCCTGTTTCCAAATAGGCCCCCAAATCCAGAAAATGGCCACCCGACAAAACCATCGGAAGTGATTCCACATTCTGTGCCGATTTGTTGATTTTTGGGGCCGCAGAAGCTCCCCCCACTTGGGGCGTCGTCGCTTTCAGGCGATATCAAGCGGGCGCCCCTGGTCTGCTTTTTGAGATGGCGATGATGACAGCTCAGCCAGTGTTTTCCATCAGCCCCGCCGAGTGTAGAGCTTTTCGGGGAGCCCGAGGAGCTAGACATGGAACCACGACTCCAGACTGGCCCAGACCTCTCGAAGACGATCCATTTACCCTCCAAAGAACCTGGCGCCATGACATGACAGGCTGTACGGTGTTGAGTTCTGGGCCGCTGTGCGATGCTATGCGTTGCGTTGCACTGAGTTGTGATGCAATGCTGCACTGCGCAATGCCACACCATGCTGTGGCATGCTACGCTATGCTGTGCTCTTCTACGCCATGCCATGCCGGGCTCTACCGTGCATCGCGTACCCTCTCGCGATCATTGTCCTGCTCGACATCCAACTGTGCGAACAGAGAGGATATCTACGCCATGGCAAGAGATGGGAGGGAGGGGTAGGACGTCAGACACGACGCGAGCGCATCCAGCCTGCCTTCCCCCCCTCCCCCTGCTCTCCCTCCCTCTTCTCCCCCTCCTCTTTCCCCCCTCCCCTTTCCCCTCCCCATTCCCCTTTCTTCTCCCCCCCCATCCCTCCGCCCCTCGTCCACCCGCAGCTCCTCCACCGCAGTGCGCCAATCACTACATCCGCCGCGTCGGAGCGTCGGGCCCCCGGGGGCGGGTCGGGCGTTTCGCCTGAGATCCTTTCACCACGTCGGACTCGGGGGCGGAAAAGAGGGGGGTGATGACTAGGGGGGGGTGGATATCATGGCGTGGGCCATGATATCTCCCCAGCTTTCATGGCGCCTCCTCTTATTTCATTACGCCCCTGGCCCCCCCCCGCTGGGCCGCGCACGTGCCGATGGTCATGATTTGCACCCCCCTCTCTTGGACACCCCCCTCTTGGCCGCTCCCGAATGATTCTGAAGCTGCACAGTTGCAGCGTCTTTACCGATGGGGGGCGGGCCGTTTTCAAAGTGTGGCCCTCGCCTTAGCGCCGCGCGCACTCGCCTCTAAAACCTTGCATCGGCCTCAAGGGTGGAGGGCGCGTCGTTCTCGAAGTGTGGCTCTCGCTATTGCGCCGCGCACATTCGTATCGACAGTTGTTTACATTGTTTAAGGGTTCGTATGGTTGGAATATCAGGAGTGGCGTTCTGGAACTACTTAGGATTGTCAGGACGCAGTCGTCACTTCGATTTGGGATGTTGAAGTCCCAGGAATGGTGTTCTCGTGCGATTCACGATTTATCAGGACGCAACAGTCACGTTGATCCGCGGCGTTGGGGTCCTAAGATTTTTGGTGCTTTGGCACAAGTGGTGGGTGGTCATCACGCGTTAGTCCTGTAATGGGTCATTGCCCACAAGAAGAACCGTTCTTGACTGGGATTTCGGCAGAGGGAGTTTGGAGAGAGTGTGTATTGCAACATCGTCGATGCATCTGGGGTTCACACCGGTCCTCCTTCGCCTCCTCCTCCCCCTTCTTCTCCTCCTCCTCCTCTTCGTCCTCGTCCTCGTCCTCCTCCTCGTCCTCCTCCCCGTCCTCGCACTCGTCCTCGTCCTCGTCCGTGCCTCCTCCTCCGCCGCGGCGCGGGCGACGACGCCCTCCGCCGCAGGCGCTCCCGGCCGCCCGGCTCTTCCTCGCCGCCACGCCGTGGCTCGTGCCGGGCGAGTGGGCCCCGGCGCACGCCCCCAAGCGCCCCGGGGTCGCGGGGGCGGAAGGGGCACGCTCAAACTCTCACGAGGAGGGGGAGGAGGAGGAGGAGGAGGAGGAGGAGGAGGAGGAGGAGGAGGAGGAGGAGGAGGAGGAGGAGGAGGAGGGGGACCGCCCCGGGGTCGCGGGGGCGGAAGGGGGTTGGGCGCCGCGGGTGGTCCGAAAAGGTACCCAAACGGTACCTAAACGAGCCCCCCGGGGCTCCGGAGGGGCCCGAAAGGGGCACGAAAGGGGACCTTTTTTGGCCCCCCCATTTGTGAACCCCTCCATTAAGCCACGCCCAAGGGGGGGAGGCCGCCATGATCGGAGGAGGGGCCGTCGAAGCAGTGGCGGCCTTCCAAGCCTGGCGTGCCTCGTCCTGTCCCGGCCGCGCAGAGGCTTCTCGCCTCCGCTGCCGCGTCCGCTTCGGAGGAAACGGGGGATGAGGATGGGCCCCTGCAGGCTCTCGGGGGGCAGATTTTGAGCGGATCCTGTTGCATGTTTCCGAGCTCCCGATTCCACATTCTGCTCACGTTTCATGTATGCTGTCTGGCTGGTAGTCGAGTTGTACACCCATGCCCTGCACAGGGCCGAGCAGCCGACAGGCATGCTCGCGTGGTTCGCTCGCTCGGGGGGCAGGGTTAGGGAGGGGCGGGGGGCGCGTAATGCGAGGGCGGCGAATGGCGGGGCAGCGAGGGCTGCCGAAAAGGGGCCCGCTAGGGCAGTTGAAGGGGCCCTCCTCCTCCTCCTCCTCCTCCTCCTCCTCCTCCTCCTCCTCCTCCTCCTCCTCCTCCTCTCCTCCCTCCTCCTCCTCCTCCTCCTCCTCCCTCCTCCTCCTCCTCCTCCTCCTCCTCCTCCTCCTCCTCCTCCTCCTCCTCCTCCTCCTCCTCCTTCTCCTCCTCCTCCTCCTCCTCCTCCTCCCTCTAGGGCCCAGGGGGGGGGCCTGTAGGTAGGACCTGGAAAGGGCACCCTCCTGTCCCCTCCCGTGCGATCGCCCCCTCCATCAATCAGGAGGGGGAAGAAAAGCACACAGACACAATGAATCGTCGATTCCCCAGAAAATAGGGGAAAATATGGGAAGTGGGCGGGAAGACAAAAACCCAGAAAAGATAGGAAAATATGGGAATATTCTCATTTGTGTATTTATTTGTGTGTCCTGGGGCCCCTTCAATCAACTCGCGCCCAAGAGGGGTGGGCTCAGGGGAGAGCGCATCGACCCCCAGTCGACCACGGTTCGCCGAGAGGGTTCCGGCGTCCCCCCCCCTGGGGCCCTGCGATTTTGCCACCAGGGGCGGATCGCCGATCTATCTGCGATGCATCGCCGAGAGCAGCTCGATGTTTTCTCCCGCTGGCCCAGTCCCCCCCTCTAGTCCTACAGTTCACCTTCCGCGGGTGGTGTGCGGAGGGGGGGGGGGCAACTGGCAAGACAGGATCGCGGCAGAGTTGCGAGCCTGAGAGACCGAGCGAGCTGAGAGCTCACGGGTATGAATCCAACCATGCAGCCAGGCCGCTCCCTGCGGAGGAGCCCGGCGCACAGGCTGCCCCTGATCCGCTCTTGTTTGTCCCCGGCCCAAGACCTGGCATCGCTCGGACGTGTGCATTTTTTCCTCGGCGAGGACCATCGAGGAGCATCCTTGATCATTTGGCGACAAAACCACGCACGAGACCGAAAACAACACAGGGAATGGACGTCCGAGCGATGGCGAGAGGAGGGACCCCGCGGGGCCGAAGCGAGAGAACAACGCCGCGACCGAAGCAGTCCTATCGCCGGAGGCCTCGGGAGAGAGGGACGCGCCGCCGAGGCGACGACGTCGACGACGGCGACGGCGACCGCGACGGCGACGGCGAGGGCGAGAGCGGCAACGGCGGCGGCGGCGGCGGCGGCGACGACGACGACGACGACGACCCCGCCCGCGAGGTCGGCTTCCTGCGCGGGGCGAAGAGGCGCACGGAGGGCCACAGGCTGCGGCACGAGCGCCCCGCGGTCGCCGTGCCGCCTCACTTGCTGGGAGCGTCGGGGGCTCTTGTGTTGCTCGGTCGGGGCACCTGCCAGGACGCTGCAGACCTCAGGACTCTCAGGCCTCACAGATGGGGTCACAGTAGCTATGCATAGGCGATGCAGCTCGATGGGGGAGCCCGATGTTCTCCACGCCGGCGCCGCCGATGCATCGCAGAAGCGCCGATGCATTGCAGATGCATCGGTGGTGCATCGGCGATGCAGCGTGGTCCTCCGGCCACATCTGCTACGACCCCATCTGGGAGGCCTCCAAGTACTCTGCTGGATCGGGCCCCATGGCGTGGAAAACAGCACGACGAATGTCTGTTTGGTTTTCTGTTCCTGGGGACCCTCGCCAGGCTCTGGGGCCGTCAGGGCGGCTCGGAATGAAAAAAACGGGTCCCGAGGAACGAGCCGAGACCTTCGGGAGCCCACGCTGTGAGGAAATCGCGGCGTCGTGGGCCTGGGGCTGGAGAAAACGGATGACGGAGGATCCCTCAGATTCCCCCAGGTGCCCCCAATGCTATCAGGAGGGAAAGAAACACACAGACACACTGAATCGCCGATTCCCCCGAAGATATGGGAAAATATGGGAAGTGGGGGGGAAGACAAAAACCACACAAACATTGGAAAATAGGGGGAATCCTGAGATTTGCATGTATTTGTTCGTGTGCCCCTGGACCCCTTGAGGTCAGGGCGTCTGCCAAGGGCGACCCCGGCCCAGGGCGTCCCCCGCTGTCCGCGCCACGTCGGGGCTCTCGGGCGTCGAGCAGCCGGGGCGTCGAGCAGTGGGGGCGAAGCGTCCTGGCTCGCCTATAGGCCTACCAAACAAGTTGTAAGAACCTTTTGCGGTCTGCACGAAAGGTTCTTGGAACATTTCTGGCTGGGTCTGTCGTGTTTTAACATATCGGGCTGATGTTCTACGAGCATTGTTTTTGTTTTGCAAACATTGCTGGGTTCTAAGAACATTTCGTGGTAGGCCTATTGGAATGCTGGGACGGTCGGTCCCTGCTCAAGATGAGGGGGGTGGTGAAGACAGGCGAACCTTGTGAGCCCTGAAGGGGCCCCCTGGGGCCCGAAGGGGGCACGAAGGGTGCACGTTGCCCTCCCCCCCCCTCCCCCCCCCCAAAACTCTCGCCCCCCCACGAAGTAATGCTCAAGGCTCCAAGGCTCCCAGAAGAAGTCGGGACACCGCTCCAGGCCTCCGACGGCCCGATCTCCTCTGGGCTCGGGGCCCTGAGCCCTCTCGACCCTTCCCCGGGGGCCCTGCTGTCGTCCTCGGCCGTGCTGTTGACGGTCCTAGGGTCCATCACCTGCTGCCCGAGGCCGAAGGCGAGCCACGGCCTGAAGGAATGTCCCCGGGAGGCTGCAGGCCCTGGAGCATCAGGAGGGGAAAAAACACACAGACACAATTCATCGTCGATTCCCCAAAATATATGGGAAACTATGGGAAGTGGGGGGAAGACAACAACTCAGAAAATATGGGAGCATATGGGGACTATGCTTATTTGTGTGTATTTATTTGTGTGTCCTGGGGCCCCTTCAGAGTAAGGAGGGCGGCCTTGATGACCGCTAGACGCTTCTTACGATGCGCGTGGCTCCCCCTTTCCCAGGCTCTAGCGCCGCAAGGAGATGCGGGGGCCAGCGGTCAAATTGTTTATGGTTGTCCATGTCCAGTCCACGATTGGAGTTCTTCGGGCTTCCAGGCCCTGGCTTCCTTCTCTAAGGATTCCCAATCCAATGCCCTCGCCGTAAACATCGGCGGCGAGCCCAGGGGGATGTGAGAAAGGGGCGGGCCTTCTCAGAAGGCTCGGAAGGCCCCTGGGCTTCTGAGAAGTTTGTTTTCCAAGCCTTCCCTGAAGACAATGAAAACATTTCAGAAGGCTGGAGGGCTTCTGAGAAGCCCCGCCGCCTTCTGAGAAGGCCTGCTCCTGCTCCCTTCCCCCCTGAGCGCGCCGCCGAATTGTGCCCGAGTCTCTGGGGGCCGCGATCCCTGGGACTCCTCCGTGACACACGAGCAACGCAAAAGACGGGGTTGTCTGCGCCGACATTGGCGCGCGAGCCGCCCGCTTAAGGTCGTCGCGCGTGAGCGCCTCCTTCTCCGGGGTTGCTTGCCGCGCGGGCGGCCCGCGTAGGCCACCGCGCGCAGGGTCGCTGTGCCATCTCGCGCAAGACCCGTTGCGATCGTCGCTCGCCTGGGGGCACCTCCCTGGCGGCACCCGAGATCGGCGCCACCCCAACATTCTTACACATGTGTGCGTCGCCCCCCCCCCCCCCCCAGGGGCGACGCGCGCGCCAGCAAATCTTACAGTACATGCGTCGTGGCGGGCGCTTTCTGGCCACACCGCTCGGGAAACGATGCACTACAAGATGGGTGCACTGTGTGTTCGGGTCGGGCGCGCGCCTCCAAGGAGGACATCTAGTATATTGGAGAGGCCTGACGGCCGGTGCCGCCGACCCTGATCGAAAGGGCTAGGAGTGGGGGGAGGAAGCGGAGGAGGAGGAGGAGGAGGAGGAGGAGGAGGAGGAGGAGGAGGAGGAGGAGGAGGAGGAGGAGGGGCGCGTGCCTCCAAGGAGGACATCTGGTATTATAGTGTGTCCCTGTGCGTCCCACGAGACTTCCCGGGGACTCGGCTGGGCGACCGCGGCCACGAGATTTGGGAGGCGCGCGAGCAGCTGGAGCGGCGCGCGGGCGTCCCCGTGGACTTCGAGGCTGGCGGGGGCGTGTCGAGGGCCGACAGGAGCCGAGGAAGAACCAACGATCCTTGGGTGATGGGCCTGTTCTCGACCACCACCACCACCACCACCATAATTAAGTTGGAGGGGGGAAGGGGTCAGAGGAGAAAAAGGTACCCATACCTCTACCCTTCGCTCGTTTTCCCCTTGTTGGGCCTCCTGGGCGGCCCTCGTCGCCACCGCCGGATTCGCCTCGAAATTCTGGTCATCACGCACCACAAGAGAGGTCCAGGGAGTAGCGGTCTCGGTACTTTTCGGTTTCCCCATGATGGGCTTGTTCTCCACCACCACCACCACCACAAGTTGGAGGGGGGAAGGAGGTGGAGGACAGGACAGGACATCCGCATGAGGGGGTCGGCGTCAATGCGCCCGCCAGGTGCAGTGTAGAGCGTGTGCGTAAGTTTCCTGCGTGAGCGTTATGCAGCAAGGACTCGACAGCCCTTCGACATCTTATCGAGGGAACTGCCAAGGCCTGCATGAGGAGAAAGAGGAGGAAGAAGAGGAGGAGGAGGAGGAGGCGGACCATGGTGGTGGCGGTGGAGGACAAGCCCGTCAAGAGATCCGACGCTCCCAAACAAAAATGGATCAGCGGCGGTTTCTGGTCGAAATCGGCCTCCGCGGGTCTTCGCCGGGCCTCGGGACCGTCACACAAAACTCGGTTTGGGACGAAGAGCCGGCCCCCCAAAAGTGGTCCACCCGTCGAACAAATTGGAGCAACCAGATGTGTGGGGGTCCGCCTCCTCTTCCGTTCTCCTCCTCCTCCTCCTCCTCCTCCTCCTCCTCCTCCTCCTCCTCCTCCTCCTCCTCCTCCTCCCCTCCTCCTCCCCTCCCCCCCTCCCCCTCCCCTCCCCCTCCCATCCAGCACCAGCACCAGCACCACACCAGCACCAGCACACCAACACCACCACCACCACCACCAGCACCACCACCACCACCACCACCACCACCACCACCACCACCACCACCACCACCACCACCACCAACCACCACCACCACGACAACCACGCACACACGCACGCACGCACGCACGCGCACCACCACCCACTACGCACGCGCGCGCGGAGCCACAGGTCCGCTGCGACACGCGTCCGCGGATAGAGAAAATCAGCGCCATGGTAAGGGATGGGAGGGAGGGGTAGGACGTCAGATATGACGCGAGCGCACCTAGCTTGCCCCCATCCCCCTCCCCCTCCTCCTCTTCCTCCCCCTCCTCCTCTTTCCCCTCCTCCTCTTCCTCCTCCTCCTCGTCCTCCTCCTCCTGCTCCCTCTTATTCTCTGCGACTCCCTCCCCGCGGTCGTTGCAGTGATTCGGCCCAGTGGCCGCGCCCCCCCCTCGACCTGCGGCCCGCTGATGCCGCGCGCCGTGGAGCTGTTGGTGGAAGCGGGCGGTGCTGTGCTCTACTAGGGTCTGCGAGCCGCGCTCTTCGAGCGGCTCCCTGGCCGCCCACTGCCCTTGACGCACCCGGAGACCCCAGCGTTCGGGTCCTCCTGGCCGTCTCGGGCATCGGAGCAGCGGCGGAAGGCACTGCTCTCGAGGCTTCCGTGACCTGCCCCACCGTCTGCCTCGGGCTGGCGGTGGACTTGAGCGGCGGGGTCTCTCCCTTGCTGCTCGCGTCGGTCCTCTCGCTTCTGGGAGTGACCGCTTGCTGCAGCTTCTGCACGGCTGCTGTCTCGCGGGCCTGGCGATCCGCTGTGCACGCCCTTTCCTGGCTCGCATTCGTGGCGCGCTGGGCGCGCCAACTCCGGCGCCCGCGAGGGCAGCTGCTCGGGCCTTGGCTTGCGGCCCTGGCCCCCAAGCCGCCTCGCGCGGCACGGCGGCGTCGGCCCTTCGGCCCGCGTCGCCGTGCCGAGCGGGGCGCTCGCTCGCAGAGCTGGAGGCCGAGCGCCAGGCGTGCCAACGCGCGCCCGCCCGACGATCCTGCCAGCGCCATGTCGCGCAGCGACCGACGGGCCGTCCGCCGACGGCTGGGGCCCCGCGACGAGGCCGTCGAGGACAGGCCGAACCTGGAAGGCCATGCCCCAGGTTCGGCCAATTGCAGCGGGGCCCGCCGCTCCCAGCGCGCGGCCGCCAAGCGCCGGGCGAGTCGCGCGGCTCTCCCCGCCCCTGGCATGGGCCCATGGCGGCCGCGCTGCGGACTCCCGGGCCAGAACAGAGGGGGGCCGCGCTTGTGCCTGACCGCCGCGCCTGGCGGACTGTTAGCCGTGGCGCGTTCGGCTCCGGTTCCGGCGTCGCGCGACGGGCGCCGCGGCGAAGCGCGTCGCCCGGCGCTCCCGCGGCCGTCCCTCCGCGACGGCGCCGAGTCGCTGGCGTCTCCCCGCAGCAGACCGCGGCCTGCCGCGCCAGCTTCCACGGGGCGGCGTCCGAGGACCCCCCTGCGGCGCGGGCGCGCCGAGTCTGCTCCGCCCCTGGCCTCCCGCGCTGGGAGTTCCGCGGGCCCCTGCGACTCGGACTTCGACTCCGAGGACCCCGCTCATGTCCGCGGGTACCTTGTGGGTCGGATCTCGGATGAGGCCAATTGTGCAGAATCGCTCGAGCCGCTCAACGGTCCGCGGCATCCGAGCAGAACGCGGCCGCGGTGGCCGTTTCACGCAGGCGGCCTCCTCGAGGGTCCTCGGGTGCCAGTCGGAGCTGGGCTCGCTCCAAGCCGTGGGTGGAGCATCTTCGAGGTGTGGCCCTTAGCGATCGTCAGGATCGTGCAGGAAAACCCCCACCCCGCCGATGTAGAGACCTCTCAAGCGCTGAGCCGACTGGCATGCGCCCCTCCAGCGAGGGCGTTACGCCGCCGCAGGGGGGGGTCGTGCCGTCGCTGGTCAGCCAGTCGGCGGGCCGTCTGCTGGCCGCGCGGAGCCTCCGTCTACGCGTCGCAGGCGTGCTGTCTTCCTGCCGACGTCGAAGGCTCCTTCAGCAGCTTCCTCTGCTGGTGCCCCCGCCCTGCCTCGCATGCCGATGCCTTCGCCTCCAGGCCACGACGAATCGCCAGAGCCGACCGCCCTTCCAGCCGCCGCGGCTTCGGCGCTTGGCTGGCGGCTGGAAGTGGCGGGCGAGCTTCTGACCGTCGTGCAGTATTCAGAGGATCGGACAGATTTGTTTCAGCACGCGGTCTCCTGGCTGAGGCATGTCGCTCCTGCTGGAGCGTTTGAACCGCGCGAGATCGACGATCTCGATTGCCTGCTCGCAGTGCTACGCAGTCATGAGCGTCTTTTCGGCGATGGAGGTACGTGCCCTCTCTCGGAGACAGGGTGGCTGCTGCCCATGGATGCCGCTGCCCCCCCAGGGCTGACCGGGCGCCCTCAGATCGACGAGAAGGCGGTCGGAGGGATCAGGGGCATCGGCGTGGGCAACAACGTCGTCCAGCGGCCTTGCGCGGCCCGCCTGGCCTGCGCGCGCGATTCGTTCGCGCGTCTATCCGAGAAGGCCGAGCTGCTCCCGCCACACGTGTCACGCAACAAAGAGGCGCCTGCGGATCTGCTCGACGACTACTGAGCCATCTGCAGCGCGCCTCACCCGACCTCTGTCGGGCATGTCGCAGCGGCAAGACGCTGCCGAGAGGGGGGCGAAGCTGCTCGGCCGCGATAGCGCGGCGCACCCTGTTGGCCCGCCTGCCATTCCCCCGGGCAGACGTCGAGAGCAGGGCGCTCTGCGTGCCCTCTGAGATCGAGACGATCGCGCGGGGCATCGTCGACGCGATTGGCGACCCCTTTGCAGAGGCGGGCGCTGCGACTGCGTCTCGGTCAGGAGTTGACGAGGTGAGGCTGCCGCCGTACGTCGCGTCGCGCAAGCGGCGCGTGGCCCTGCGGAGCAGCAGAGGCCCCGCGCCTCCCCTGCTGCTCTGGTGCGCGCGCGGGCTGCGCGTGCAAGCTGCCGCTGGGATTCCGCCTGCCTCGGCGGCCGCCGCCGCGCCCACTGGCCGCGGGCTCAGCGCCGCGCGGCCCCGCGCCCCCCGCGGCCTCTCGTTCGGGATCCCCAGTTGACTCCCGAGTATCTCGATCGCAGATCCCGATCGATCGACGCGTTCGAGCTGCGGGTCGTCGAGCATACCAGAGCGGCTCCGACCACGCTCTGCCGAAGAGGCATGCTCCTGGCACGAGCGCTAGCCACCTTCGGAGTATGGTTGCACGACGCTGGTTTCCCCTATTAACCCCGTGTGCATGCCCTGCTGGGCGTCCAGCCAGCGTATCCATTGGCAGGCGTTCCGTGCAGAAGCTTGGGACGTCGCCAAACAGTGGAAGCTCGCAGAGCCTCCCAAGCTTCGTCCACCGTCGCCTCGCGCACTCTTGCGCGCGATTGTTGGCCTTTGCCTCATCTGGGACTGGCCAGACATGGCCGCCTTGCTGTTGTTCCTGCGCCCAGGGGGACTCACGATGGCAAGAAGGCGCGACCTTTCCTTGCCGCCGGACCGTCTCGAGCCAACAGGAGACGCCTTTTCTGTCCATCGCGGCGCCGAAGACCCGTTGTTCCTACCCTGCTCAGCATGCGAGGTGTTCGGATCGTGGGCCAGTGGGGTTTTTCGAACGTGTTTTTGGACATCTTACTTTCACCGATCCGCTCGCCCCCTTCGGGGCTAGCGGCTTCCGTACTCGGTGGAACCACTTGCTTTCGGCGTTGGGCATTCCGCTCGGCAAAGCCGCCGCTGGACTGAATTTGACCCCTGGTTGTCTGCGGGGTTCAGGTGCTACTCACTTCTGCACAGCTGCAGAAGACATCCCTCGCGTCTTCTGGCGAGGTAGGCTGCGCCAAGCCTCGAGTGCTGAGCGTTGCCTCCAAGCTGCTGCTGCTTCGACTGTCCTTGCGTCTCTCTCTGAGGCCGCCGGACTCAGGCGCTTTCCTTCGCCTCCGCCAGCAGTCGCTTGCTTGCCTCTTCTCCGCGTGCTGGGCCGCCAGACCGGTCAGTCCAACTCGCGGCCGCCCGCCAAAACCTTGTCACGTCGTCAGGGCTTTGAGCCTTGGCATGGCTGCGCCGCCTCTCGACGGCCAGGAGCCCCGCCCCTGAGCGCGGCGCGTCGGCCCCCTCGCGCCCGGCAGCGGGTCTGTCCCGCCGTCGCGCGCGGAGGCGCCGGCACGCGCACGCGGAGACCGTTCGCCAGGGCGGAGCGAGAGAATCCTCCTCCTCCTCCTCCTCCTCCTCCTCCTCCTTCTCCTCCTCTTCCTCCTCCTCCTCCCCCTCTTCCTCCTCCTCCTTCATCCCTCTCCTCCTCCTCCTCCCCCTCCTCCTTCTCCATCCCTTTTACCGTCCAATTCATTTCTTCCCTGTCGCATCCCCAGATGTGGGCAGGGCGGGCGGGGCGTTTCGCTTGAAACTGTTTCACCACTTGTGTCCGTGGAGCTTGAAATTTGAATCAGATTCGTGGACGGAAGGCGGGTTTGTTTTTCAAGATGCGGTTTTTGCCTCAGCGCCGCGCACATTCGTTTCTTAAAGACTGCAACAGCTTCAAGGATGGTGGACATGTGGCTTTCAAGATCTGGCTTTCGCTTCAGCGCCGTGCACCCTCGTCGTGACAAGTTGCAGCTGTGTCGGGGATGGAAGGCGGCTCAGGTTTGAAACGTGAGTATCGCTTAAATGCAGCGTTCACTCGCGTACGACGGTTTCAATATTTCATCAGTAATGGTGTTTCGACACGGCTTAGGACTGTCAGGACGCAACAGTCTGGTTGATCCGCGGAGTTGAAGTCCCAGGCATTACGTTGTGGCAAAATTGAGGCTTCTCGGAGGCTTGCCCTCTAATGGGCAATCTCCCGAGTCCTATGAAGAGGCAACTAGAGGGGAGGGTTGATGGCAATATCGTTGATGCGTCTTGGGTTTGCACAGGTCCTCCTCGTCGCCGGTTTCCTCCTCCTCCTCGTCCTCCTCCTCCTCCTCCTCATCATCATCATGATCAGCATCATCATCATCATCCCCCCTTCCTCGTCCTCACTCGGTGTGCGTGTCCATCTTCCTGGTCGCATCCTTGGCTCAATCTGGCTCCGTCTAGCCTGACCTGATGACCTCCCGAATCGGGCGCCATATCCTTTTTTCACCGTTGCCGCGAAGATTTCCCAGGAGTCGCCTTCTCACCCTTGAGGCGCCCTCTGGCCGTCCGGCCACGTCTTTGAGGGGACGGCTGCGCGGCTCGTGGCGGCATGGGGGCGGTGGGGCCGCGCCCGAGGAACCGCCAGTTCTCCTATCAGTTTGTGCTGGTTGTGGAGAACTCGCGCCACCGCAACTACTTCACCGAGAAGCTGCTGGACGCTCTCCTCAGCAGGTGCCTCCCCAGAGGGGCGCCCGGAGGCGACGAGGGGGGCGAATGGCCCGGGGGCGAGCTTTGCGCGCACTCGCCCGGGAGCCTCGCCGAGGGCCTGGACCATCGGTGCCCCTGGATACATGGCTTGCCCCTCCCCTGGGCTACTCGTCGCTCTCTGCGCCTCCGAGGGGCCGCTCCAATCGGGGGCTGCTCCGGGGAGGGCCTCCCCTGGGTGGGGGGTCGAGGAGTTACTGCCTGGACTGGGGGCGCCCCCGCTGGCTGAGTCCCTCGGAAGCAAGAGATGCGTCCCCCGAAGAATAAGAATAACGATAATTATCCCAGTGCGACCCTACCTAGGAGTTGGAACCCCTAGGAAAGCAGCATTAGTAGTAACAGTAACGCTAAGCTAAAGCTAAGCTAAAGCTAAGCCACAGCTAAGCTAAAGCTAAGCTACAGCTAAGCTAAAGCTAAGCTACAGCTAAGCTAAAGCTAAGCTAAAGCTAAGCTAAAGCTGAGCTAAAGCTGAACTAAAGCTGAGCTAAAAGCTAAAGCTAAAGCTAAGCTAAAGCTAAGCTAAAGCTAAGCTAAAGCTAAGCTAAAGCTAAGCTAAAGCTAAGCGAAAAGCTAAGCGAAACGCTAAGCTAAAGCTAAGCTACAGCTAAGCTAAAGCTAAGCTAAAGCTAAGCTAAAGCTAAAGCTAAAGCTCCCAGGGGACTGGGGGGAACCGCTCCCAGGGGACTGGGGGAACCGCCCGGGGCGCTTTGCACTGCCCGGCCCCTTTAAGCTAAGAGAGTAAGAGCCCTTCTAGGCAGAGCCTAGGTAGGGAATTATCCCAGTGCGACCCTACCTAGGAGTTGGAACCCCAAGGAAAGCAGCATTAGTAGTAACAGTAACGCTAAGCTAAAACTGAGCTAAAGCTAAGCTAAAGCTAAGCTAAAGCTAAGCCACAGCTAAGCCAAAGCTAAGCTAAAGTTAAGCTAAAGCTAAGCTAAAGCTAAGCTAAAGCTGAGCTAAAGCTGAGCTAAAGCTGAGCAATGAAGCTAAGCTAAAGCTAAGCTAAATATAAGCTAAAGATAAGCTGAATATAAGCTAAACATAAGCTAACGATAAGCTGAAGATAAGCTAAAGCTAAGCTTAAGCTAAGCTACAGCTAAGCTCAAGCTAAGCTAAAGCTAAGCTAAAGTTAAGCTAAAGCTAAGCTAAACGCTAAGCGGCAAGCTAAGCGAAACGCTAAGCTAAAGCTAAGCTACAGCTAAGCTAAAGCTAAGCTAAAGCTAAAGCTAAAGCTAAAGCTCCCAGGGGAATGGGGGGAACCGCTCCCAGGGGACTGGGGGAACCGCCCGGGGCGCTTTCCACTGCCCGGCCCCTCCAAGCTAAGAGAGTAAGAACCCTTCTAGGCAGAGCCTAGGTAGGGAATAAAAAGAATTATCCCAGTGCGACCCTACCTAGGAGTTGGAACCCCTAGGAAAGCAGCATTAGTAGTAACAGTAACGCTAAGCTAAAGCTAAGCTAAAGCTAAGCTAAAGCTAAGCTAAAGCTAAGCAGCTAAGCTAAAGTTAAGCTAAAGCTAAGCTGAAGCTAAGCTAAAGCTAAGCTAAAGCTGAGCAGCAGCTAAGCTGAAGCTAAGCTACAGCTAAGCTAAAGCTAAGCTAAAGCTAAGCTAAACGCTAAGCGAAAAGCTAAGCTACAGCTAAGCTAAAGCTAAGCTACAGCTAAGCTAAAGCTAAGCTAAAGCTAAGCTAAAGCTAAAGCTAAAGCTGAAGCTAAAGCTCCCAGGGGACTGGGGGGAACCGCTCCCAGGGGACTGGGGGAACCGCCCGGGGCGCTTTGCACTGCCCGGCCCCTTTAAGCTAAGAGAGTAAGAACCCTTCTAGGCAGAGCCTAGGTAGGGAATAAGAAAACGACGAATACTAATCATAAGAAACATAAGACTACTACTAAGAACAACAATGCCACTACTCATACTAATCATACTAGCGATACTAGTAGTAGTAGCAGTAGTAATAGTAGTAGTACTAGTTGCAGTTGTAGTTGTAGTCGTAGGCGTAGTCGTAGTCGTAGTCTTAGTCGTAGTCGTAGTCGTAGTCGTAGGCGTAGTCGTAGTAGTAGTAATAGTCGTCGTAGTAGTAGTAGTAGTCGTAGTAGTAGTAGTAGTAGTCGTCGTCGTCGTCGTCGTCGTCGTCGTCGTCGTCGTCGTAGTAGTAGTAGTAGTAGTAGTAGTAGCAGTAGTAGTAGTAGTAGCAGCAGTAGTAGTGTTAGTAGTAATAGTAGTAGTAGTAGTAGTAGTAGTAGTAGTAGTAGTAGTAGTAGTAGTAGTAGTAGTAGTAGTAGTAGTACTAGTAACACTAGTAATACTAGTAATACTAGTAATACTAGTAATACTAGTAGTAATAATGCGAATAAGAATGATAATACTAACGAGAACAAGACGAATGCAGTCGGACCGAGGTATAAGATCGAGGTCGGTTCAGGGAGGGTGCCCTAATGTTCCTCGTGTTTGTTGGGCACCCTGGGGAGGGCACGCTTGGATATTCCGTGCATTTTGGCCAGCGGAGGGTCTCGCGTTCTCAAGAGATGTTGTTTCTGTCCTAGGTTCGATCGTATTTGCAGAAACATGTACTGTGGGAAACCCGCGCGGATATCCGAAAATTAATGTTGCTGCCGCGTCTTGTCCCTCAAGCCCCCTAAGAGATTCAATGTCATAAAGGGGGATTCGTGGTTTCAGGAGCGGGCTACGGTTCCCATTTCTCCTGCTGATCTTGCAGCCTTCCGCATCTCTTTCTGTCTACCTGCCCTCCGCTCCACCGAAGGCCCCAGCGGCAGCGTTCAGAGTGCGCCGCCCCGCCCATGTCAGCAGGCTTCGCATGGCGCCACGCTTCTCAGGTTTCGTGGCCCCATAGGGAGTTCCACCGAAGGCCCCAATTGCAGGGTTCGCATGGCGCCGCTCCACCCATTTCGGCATACGCTTCGCACGCTTCGTGGCCACATCAGGAGCTTTCCCTCCGGAGTCCCACCTGCCTTGCGGCACTCGTTCTTGCGTCTGGTTGGGTTATTCGCCGGGGCGTGTTTATTAGTCTCTTTCTCTCTCTCTCTCTCTCTCTCTCTCTCTATATATATACCCATCTCTCTCTCTCTCCCTCTCTTTATATATGTGTTCCTCTCTCTCCCTCTCTTTATACATGTGTTCCTCTATCTTTCATGAAACACAGGAGAACCCTCGCACGGATGGGCGTCCTAATGGCCAGAACGGTCCAAGAGGGCCACCTGGACGGCCCAGAACGCTCCCCGAGGGTGTCTGGACCGGTGAAGGATCTTCCCAAGACGGTCCAGGGAGCTGCAAGACGACTCCAGGACAGCTCAAGAGCACTCCAAAATGGCCTTCACTTTATTGATATGGCTTCAAGATGATCCACGAGGGCCCCAGACGGCCCGAGAGGCCCTCGGGCCTCAGAAGGGCTTCCACGAGCGCTTCCTGAGGCCAGAACTATTCGCGGTTTCCTGTATGCTTCTGGAAGTTGTTACACATCTCTCTTGTTCGAGTTTCTGACGGCCCGAGATAGTCCAAGAGGCCCCAAAGGTACGGCCCAAGAGATCCCCAAAGGGCCCTTCGACGGCCAAACAGAGCCCCAAGATGGCCCAACAAGGCTCCACCACGGCACAAAAGGGCGCCAGGAGGTTTCCGACAGAGCCGCAACAGAGCCCAAGAGGCCCCCGAGAGAGCCCCAAGAACGACCCAAGACGGACAAGATCCCTCAAGGCACCCGAAGACCCCCCCCCAAAAAAAACAGACCACCCAAAAGGGCCCCGAGAGGACCCCCAAGCCCGGAGAGGCCAAACAACAATACCCCCACGGGCCCACAGTTGATGTTCTCCACGCCCTGTGGGCATGACTGAAAGTAGCGCCAGCGAGGGATCTTCTGTCCAGGCCTCTGCCCAAGAGGAGTCCCCGAAGGGAGTGGCCGTGGCCCCCCGCGAGAAGCTCTAGCACGCCCAGGAGCGCTAGTGCGAGGGATCGTCCGCCTGGGCCTGCGCCCCACACGCAGCCCCGAGGGGAGCGACGTGCCCTCCCAAGGGGGCCACATGCGAACCCCACCCCCTACCCCCCCACGATTTCTGGGGGGGAGGGTGGGGTTCGCTTCGTTCGGGAGCTCCCGAGCGGAGTGAACCCCACCCTCCCCCCCAGAAATCGTGGGGGGTAGGGGTAGGGTTCGCATGTGGCCCCCTACTCCCGCGATTTTTTTTTCAACGGCCACCACGGCCAAGTTGGCCAGCACGCCCTCCGGGGGCCCCACTGAACAAACCCACGCACAGCTCTCCCAGGGTTGCATCCTGTGCTGCTGTGCAGCGGCTGCTGTGAGGCGGCGGCATGTTGATGACGCACTCCTCACGGGTCTGACCAATCTGCGTCCAAGAGGCCCAGCAGTGTGTCGGAGGTGATGGGTTGAGATCAAACAGGAACGGAGAGCCCCCCCAACGGGAAATGGTTTCGGTTTCGTGTTCGTGGGTGCCGTGCGTGCGGGCGAGGCGAAGTTGCGTGGGCGGGCGAGAAGAAAGTCTCCTCCGGCTGAGGCGCGGCCGGACCAAATGATTTCTTTCCGGGGGCCGGTGGCCCGCGGTGTCCCGCCAGTGTCCCGCCTCCTGTTGAGGCGCGGCTGGACCAACTGGTTCTTCTCTGGGGGCCGGTGGCCCGCGGTGTCCCGCTGGTGTCCCGCCCGTGTCCCGTCGGTGTCCCGATGATGATGATGATGATGATGATGATGATGATGATGATGATGATGATGATGATGATGATGATGATGATGTCGATGATGTTGATGATGGTGATGATGATGATGATGGTGATGGTGGTGATGATCATGGTGTCCCGATGATGATGTTGATGATGATGTTGATGCTGATGATGATGATGATGATGATAATGCTGACGATGTTGATGATGATGATGATGATGATGGTGATGGTGATGGTGGTGATGATGATGGTGTTCCGATGATGATGTTGATGATGATGATGATGATGATGGTGTTCCGATGATGATGATGGTGATGATGATGTTGGTGATCATGATGATGTTGATGATGATGAGATGATGGTGAGATGATGATGATGATGATGATGATGATGATGGTGTCCCGATGTTGATGATGATGAGGTTGATGATGATGCTGTTGATGATGATGGTGATGATGATGGTGTCCCGATGATGATGGTGATATTGATGCTAGTGATGATGACGATGAAGGTTTCTCGATGATGATGTTGATCAGGAAGATGATGATGAGTGGATGATGTTGATTTTGATGATGGTGGGCCGATGATGGTGATGACGATGATGTTGATGTTTATGATGATGGTGCCCCGATGATGATGATGCTGTTGGTGATGATGGTGATGACGATGATGATGTCCCGATGATGATGTTGATGATGATGTTGCTGATGATGATGATGACGGTGTCCCGATGATGATGATGATGATGATGATGATGATGATGATGATGATGATGAGGATGAGGATGAGGATGAGGATGAGGATGAGGATGAGGATGAGGATGAGGATGATGATGTTGTTCATGATGGTGGTGATGAAATGATGATGCTAGTGGTGTTCCGATGGTGATGATGTCCCGATGATGGTGTTGATGATGATGATGATGATGGTGACGATGATGGTGTCCCGATGATGGTGATGATGGTGATGATGATGATGTTGATGATGATGGTGATGAGGTGATGCTGATGATAATGATGATGGTGCCCCGATGATGATGATAATGATGATGGTGATGTTGATGAGGATGATGTTGATGATTATGATGATGACGTTGACTGTGAGATCGATCGTGATATCGATAGTGAGATCGATAGTGAGACCGAATGTGAGATCGATTGTGAGATCGATAGTGAGATCGATAGTGAGATCGATTGTGAGATCGATCGTCAGATCGATTGGGATATCGATCGAATGAAATAGATCGAGTGAGATCGGTTGTGAGATCGATCGAGTGAGATCGATCGAGCGAGACCGATAGTGAGATCGATAGTATGATCGATAGTGAGACCGATCGAGTGAGACGTTGGTTCCTCCCCCCCGAACCTCCTTATCACCCGAAGGGTGGTCGTATAGGTATTGTCATTCATGTCTTTCCCCAGGGCAAGCACGACAGGAGCAAAAATGGAGGAGGAGGAGCAGGAGCAGGAGCAGGAGCAGGAGCAGGAGGCTAGACCCTGGGGAATCGCGCGACGACGAGCTCTCCCAGCGCTGCCTCCGAGCCAACTCCCTCTGGCACTTCCGCCGCCGCGCCACGGGCCTTCGGGGGCCCCCCAACGGGGTGGTGACCACAACGTGCGGTGAGTCGGTGGGGATTCGGGGTCACCGCACGGTTTTGGGGCTCGAGGCGCTCTCCGAGCATGCATCGGGCGACAGGGGCCTCCAGGGTCCCAGGGCCGTGCCGTGACGAACCGTGCGGTGAGATCTTGGGGGATTTCGAAGTCACCGCACGGTCTGTCACCGCCCCGGTTCGGGACTCCAAAGACCCTGCGGAAGGTGAGCTCCGCCGCCGCGCCGCGGGCCTCGGGGCTCCGGGGAACGGCCTCCTTAAGCTCCCGGAGCCACCCCGAAGACCTCAACGGGTCCCGGAGAGACCTCCCAAGCATCGCCCAAGACGCCCCAAAGAGGCCCCACCAGCCCCCAGTGCTTCCCAGAGCTCTCGAGCGTCCGCCTGGAGACCCCCCAGAAGCCTCTAAGAGACCACGCGTCCACGTCCGAGCCGATGTTCCCGAAAAGAGGGTACTGCGGACATCCGTCCTGCTCTGCCCGCCTCCGTCCACCGGCCAAGCCACCAACAAGAGTCAGAGGACCCCCCATCAGATTCCAAGAGGTTCCTGACAGGTCCCCCCAAACCACACAGTAACGTCCCAGTTGCCCTTCCTCTTCGCACCTCGGCCTCCTCGGCCTTCCCTGCGTCATCCTTCTCCTCCTTCCCCTCCTCCTTCTTCCACCTGTTCCAAGTAAGCACATTCCAATTTCTGTTTTTTTTACAATTCCCACCAAGAGGGGCGGCTGAAATTCGCGACCTCAACCCATTCCTTGGTGGCGTGCTGGTCGGGCGCAACCCGTTCTTCTCGGAGACGTGCCTTCCAAGAACAGCACACTCAAGTGCACCGCTTGCCAGCACCCCCCCCCCTCGAGATGCTTTCTCGAGAGGGCAGAGCCTGCGCTGCCGATGCCTCGCAGCGCAGGCTCTGCCCTCGCCTCCCCTGCTGATGCCAGACGTGGTGCTGGCACCACTCTCCCGCGCCCTTGGGTGTGCAGCGCGAGGGCGCCCTGCAGAATTTCTAATAGTTTGTGTCCTCTGGTATTGCCAATCGTGTCTCCTAGGACAGATACGTACCTGGGGAATTTTTGGCGATGAAGCCCGAGCTTCGGCGTGGAATTCCACGCTTTCGGCTTGGAGACTTTCACCGCAGGCCTGGTTATTCATCCCGTGGTCCGTGGGTCGGTTCGCATTCAACATCGTGTGCGGGTGCGCATCGCGAAAGGCGCGTTCAGACAGGTTCAGCTTTCGGTCTCGACGACACTGCACGTCTGCGCTGTCTTGGGTGCCTCAGCGCGCCTGAAGCCAAACATGGTGTTGGACTGCCCGGGGCCTGGCACCGCTCGGACGTGTGTATATTTTTTCTCGGCGGGGACCATCGAGGACCATCTTGGACCATCGAGCAAAAAAAAACACGCACGAAACCGAAACATGCACAGGAAAGGGACGTCCGAGCGATGCCGAGAGAGCGCTCTGTTTGCAGCAGGCCCCGTCCGAAGGTGCATTCCCGTCTACTGGGGCTGCCCCAACATCGCCGACTTCTTCGAGGAGGCGCGCCGGCCAGGGGTCCTTGGGCAGCGGGCCAGAACAGCCCGCCTGCTTCGTGCTCCGTGCCCAGACGCCCGAAGATTCAGGCATGTTCGAGCCTGGGGCTTGGCATCGCTCGGACGTGTGCATTTTTTCGGCGAGGACCATCGAGGACCCTCCTGGACCATCGAGCAAGAAAAAAACACGCGCGAAACCGAAAAATGCACGGGAAATGTACGTCCGAGCGACGGCAAGGCTTTGTGCTCCGTGCCCAGACGTCCGAAGATTCAAACATGTTCGAGCCTGGGGTGCCTGAACCTCTCGACCCTTTTCCTGGGACTGCCTTTCCGTCCTGGGTCGCTATGTGTGAGACTCCCAGGCTCCGAAGACCGCCTCCAGATGTCGAAAGGGCAGAAACAAGCATGAGAGTGGGGGGGGGCGAACGGTCATTCATTTGTCCTTGGGTGCGTGGCTGAAGCTAGCTTCTGTGGCACTGGTTCTGCTTGGTTGTTGAGCTCTCATACCCAGAGAATGATCAGTATTGGTTCCCCTCCTCCAATGCACCTTGTGCTTTTTAAATGAAGAGTCCCTCCCAGGGCTCGCGCCTGGCTTTTTTGTCAAAGGAAAGTCTTGCGCCTCAGGTTGTGTTGCCGGCCACCGAGTCAACACAACAGCGGCTCCCGTATCAGACTGCCTCACGATGTTTAAAATCGCACTATCGCGCGGGACGTCCTCACAATCTATGCAGAAATCGGGCTCCCGCTTTGTACTTCCTCGCACTTGTTTGACACGCCGCGCCCCAACACTCACAACTTCTAGACGCTTCGCGTAACCCCACCAGCCCATCCTCGATCAGAGAAGTGGGCAGCACACAGAGGAAGGGTCCCCCAGTGGAGGCCTCTTGGAGCGTCTTGGGGGCTTCTTGGCGGTCCCGGACGCCTCTTAGAGCGTCTTGGGTGCCTCGGCGAGCTTCTTGGGGCCTCTTGGGGGTCTCTTGGGGGCCTCTTGGAGGCCTCAGGGGCGCCTGTTGGGGCCTCCTGGGGCCTCCTGGGCGCCTCTTGGGGCCCTCTTGAGGCGCTCTTGGGAGCCTTGGAAGCGCTCTTGGAGCCCTCTTGGGCCATCTTGGAGTCATCTTGTAGCCTCGGATGGCCATCGGAAGCGAAAAGGCGAGAAAGCTCAAAACATTGATGTCCCTTGGGTTTTGGAAGGATTTGGGCCTCTTCGGGGCCTCCTGGGGAAGCTCTTTGGCCACTTGGAGCCGTCCTAAAGCGGTCTTGGGGCCTCCTGGAGCATCGTGGGAGCCATCTTGAGGCATCTTGAGATATCTTGAGTCATCTTGGAGGTCATCTTGGGCTCTCCCAGGCGCTCTTGGAGTCATCTGAAGCAGGTAATCAGTTCCATCAGATGTGCATGGTGTTTGCTGGAGGATCGTGCGCCGTGAACCAAATCACGGGGCCCTCGTTCTCGCCCCCCTCCCCGACACCCTGCGGTGACACAGGCACGACCTACGGGACAGTCAATCCCGATAGGAAGGATGAGGAACTTTCCAAGGCTGCCCGTGCATCCTTCCCCTTGGGCCCATCCTTGGCCGCTGTCGCTGGCCGCGCCCCGCTCGCAGAGTGTCGACATGGCCTTCTAAGGCCCTTCCATCCTTATCGTGCGCCCTTGTTATACGGGTCGACTGTAGTTCAGAAGCCGCCACCCCATTGACCGCGTCCAGGCGGGCTTAGTGGTGGTCGGGGACGGCGGGTCCCTGTCAGACGTGGAGGTCGCCCTCGGGGCGCTGTCGGAGGCCGCGTACGCGGCCCGCCTCGAGAGTGCCGAGGAGAACTTCGAGCGGGCAAGGCCAATCGCCGCCGTCGCCACAACCGTCTCGGACGAGAGGGGGTGGGGGAAAGGGGCCTCCGGAGACTGGTTGCCGGCCCTGGGGCTGCCAGAGCGCAAGTGGTCCGACCGAACAATGAACTTGTGACGTACCCAAACCATCGGCACCAAGGGATGACACAAGCTGTGCCAGCAATAGTGCAACAGCAACACTACAAGAGACGGTGCACGGCGGACATCCATGTCGTGCGAAGTGTGCGTGGCCGACTCGCAGAACAGAGGTACGAGAGGCCAGGAGGCATTGTACTGGGAAGGAGAAGCAGAAGGAATACATCGGGGTGGAAGAACGATCTCCTGGGCAGAAGCAGCGAGATGATGGCGAGGGCTGTGGGGGATTTGCGTGGGAACCCAATGTGCTGGCCCCCCCCCCGCAGCCTTCGAAGGCGGGGACAGTTTCACATGTCGCAGCCCCCCACGAATGGCGAGGTCCCGGTTGGATCTGTGTGGGGCCCCATTGTGCAGCCCAGCCCTCGAACGTGGGGACAGTTTCGCACTTTTCAGTCCCCCAGGGATGGCGAGGTCCCGCCATTTGGGTTTGCGTGGGACCCCAGTGTGCTGGCTTCCCCGGCAGCCCTCGAACGTGGCGACAGTTCCGCACTTCGCAGCCCCCCAGGGATGGCGAGGTCCCGCCACTTGGGTGTGCGTGGGACCCCGCTGTGCTGGCTTCCCCAGCAGCCTTCGAACGTGGCGACATTTTCACATTTTGCAGTCCCACATTAGTGACGAGGCCCCCCCAGCAGCCTTCGAATGTGGCGGCAGTCTCACATTTCGCAGCCACCCATGGGTGGCGAGGTCCCGCTTGGGTTTGCGTGGGACCCCACTGCGCTGGCTTCCCCAGCAGCCCTCGAAAGTGGTGACAGATTCAAACTTCGCAGCCCCTCAGGGGTGGCGAGGTCCCGATTGGGTTTGCGTGGGACCCCGCTGTGCTGGCCTCCCAGCCAGCCGCTCTCCAAAGTGGCGGCAGTTTCACACTTCGCAGCCCCCCAGGGATGGCGAGGTCCCGTTTGAGTCTGCGTGGGACCCCACTGTGTTGGCTCTCCCAGGTGCCCTCAAAAGTGGGGACAGTTTCACACTTCCCATGGCGAGGTCCCGCTTGGGTCTGCGCGAGACCCCGCTGTGCTGGCCTCAGCCAGCAACCCTTGAACGTGGCGACAGTTTCACACTTCGCAGCCCCCCAGGGATGGCGAGGTCCCGCTTGGGTTACATAAATCGGGCCTGTCCCCCCTACAGGGGGATTTTCGACGAAAAACAAAAAATACCCCCCAAATACCCTAAGAGGGGGTCAAAAAATACGAAAGAAGTAGTCCCCAGACTATTTTTGAAACATTTTTGGACTACTTTTGGTGTATTTTTTTATTATTCGTGGAAAATCCCCCTGTAGGGGACAGGCCCGACTCAACGCTTTGGTGTGCGTGGGACCCCACCTGGGCTGGCCCCCCAGCAGGCAGGCGAGGGAGAGGGACCGAGCTGGCTCCTCCAGCAGGCAGGTGCAGACCGCCGGCGCGGGCAGGCGAGCGCGGGACCGAGAGAGCGGGAGGAGCAGGAGACGGGCGTCGGCAGCCCGTTGCTTTCTTCCAAACGAGGACCCAACCAATTGAAGGTTGGGAAACAAGTCTGAGATTTCAAGCAGTTGGGAAACAAGTCAGGGAAACGGGCGTCGGCAGCCCACTGCTCTCTTCCAGACGTAGGAAAACGAGCAATGATATAAACATAAAACCTCGGAGCTCCGCGCGGATTTCTCGGATCGGCGCTGGACCCCCTCCCTGGCGCGCGGAGCGCGCCAGGGGCGGCGCCGGAGGCGCCGCCAAAGGGGTCCAGCGCGGATCCGAGAAATCCGCGCGGACCTCCGAGTTTTCATGCTTATGTCATTCTTCGCTCCCCTATAACGAGGACCCAGCCAAGTGAAGGTCGGGCAACAAGTCACTAGTCAGGGATGTCAAGCAGTTGCTGGCGGCTGTCGGCGGCTTCCAGCCTTGGGGTGCTCTCCCGCAGCTGCGCCTCGCCGAGAGCGCCGCGGAGGCGCTCCACTCGTCCCGATCGGCCGCCGGAGTCCCGGGTGCCGATCCGGAACCACAGCGCCTCGGGGTGGATTGGGGAAGGTTGGGTACGGCACCTTGTGCAGCCGGTTGCGGCCCCCCCAGCCGGGCTCGGGGCCTAAGAGACGGGGGTCAATGCAACCGGGGATCAGCCAGAGCGCCAGATCCTGCAGGATCCTGCGAAGGCCCCCTCTGGCTCACCCGGGTCAGCGAGCCGCTCGTGGACGCGAGGCGGCCGCTCGTATTGGCTGACCCAGGTTTGCGAAGGCCTGCGTTGCAGTTTTTTTTACTGCATTGCAGTTTTTGGTTTCCTGCTGACCCGGGTCTGGATTGACCCGGGTCAGAAGATCCCCGACGGGCGCTGGATATCTCGGCGCGTCCAGCGACGGGAGGCGGCAGGAAAGCCAGCTGCACGCAGTGGATTCGCTAGCCCCCCCGCTTCCCTCTCTTCCGCCCCGACCGTCGCCGCCGCCGCCGAGAGCCGTCGTTCTCATGGCGCCAACATCGCAGAGCGGACTTCGTTCGGAAAACAATGGGATGGGCCTGGAGTGTCCTGGAGAGTTTCGTTCCGGATTTCGAAATAAATTTCGCGCGGATCATTTTTGGCCAGGAATGAAGACTACCAAAATTCAGCGTGACATCTATTTCGCTCTTCGCTCGCCGTTTCGGAGTCTTGCGTTGACCGAAATCAGCGCAAACATCCGCTGCAGCACGTCTGCAAGGTCGGTGCAGTGATCGTTCCAGTCACGAAGGAGGGTGCTCAGCCATTCTCGGCACCCCGGGGCCCCTGTGTCGGGCGGGCGACGGAGCAGTCTGCACACATCCACTGCCCCCCTGGCGGGGCCCTTCGCGGGCCCGGGGTCCGTGCATAACTACGCCCTCCTGGCCGAGCCGGGAGGGCGCGGCGTAGACACCGCTGCTGGGTTCAGGCTGGGCCCGGCCAGGGAGCAGCAGATACGTGTGGCCGCGTCGTTTGTTCTGACACGCGGCCTTCCATCCTGGGGAGGGCGCCGCGGTCACTAGGCCAAGCGCCGCCTCGGGCGAAGGGTTCGCCGCGGGTTTGCCGTGGTGTCGGCGTCCTCCACTTGGGCGCGTCAAGCACAAACGGCGCGGCGACACACACACACACACACACACATATATATATATATATATATATATGTGTGTGTACATGTATGTGTATATATATATATATGTACATATATATGTATATGTATATATCGATTTCGTCGCCCCACCTTGCCAGGCCCCGGGCCCGTGAGGCCAAGCCACGATGGCGTGGCGTAGACACCGCTGCTGGGTTCAGGATGGGCCCGGCCAGGGAGCAATGGATGTGTATGCGCTTCGTCGCTCTGCACTCGGACCGAGCGGGGAGGGTGCCCTCGTGTACTCCGTGTTTGTTGGATGGCCGTGTGCATCCTGGGGAGGGTGCCCCTGGACATTCTGTGTTTCGGGGGCCGACGGAGGGTCTCGTGCTCTTGAGGGCTGCTCTTCTGGCCCGGGTCCGACTGCACCTTGCACGCCGCGGAGAGGTCGGGGCCGCGGGGGCTCGGCCGAGGAGGCGTGTTGGGTTCTCGGAGGTCGCCGGACCACTACGGTCGGGCCGAGGTACGAAAGATGGACGTCGCCCCGGGGATGGTGCCCTGACTCGGCGGCGTGCGAGGGGGGAAAATGAGAAGGAGAAGGCCTTCTCAGAAGGTGGCGGGACTGCTCAGAAGCCCTCGCGCCTTCTGAGAAGTTCTCCGCGTCTTCGGCGAAGGCTCAGAGGACTCCTCGGCAGGCCGGGGGGGACTCCGAGCCTTGGAGAAGGCCCGCCCCGTCTCAGTGCCCCCCTCGCTCGCCGCCGAGCGGTCGGACCGAGGTGTATGATCGAGGTCGGTTCGGGGAGGGTGCCCTAACGTTTTTCGTGTTCGTTAGACGTGCTTGTGCATCCTAATTAGGGGAGGGCACCCTCGAAGGTTCCTCGGTGTGGGCCAGCGCAGGGTCCCCTGCTCTCGAAGCACCCTTTTCGTTCCTGGGTCCGACCGGATCGGGTTGTCGGAGGCGTACGTCCTTCTCTGCGGGCTCCCTCCACACCTCCGAGGGTAGGGGAGTCGAGTCGAGGCTCGAGGGGCGAGGTTGTTTGACGCTTTGGGGTGTTCTAGGCCTCCTAGATGGGGTCCGAGTAGATGGGGTCGGAGGATCGCGCCGCATCGTCGATGCATCGACGATGCGGCTCGATGTGGAGCTCGATTTTCCCCACGCCGACGTCGCGGATGCGTCGCCGATGCATCGGCGATGCATTGGCGATGCGGCGCGATCCTTCGACCCCGTCTACTCGGACCCCATCTAGGAGGCCTCTAGGTTTCTTCCCCGGGGTTGTTCGGCGTCCGAGCCCGTTCGGCTGCCGACTTGGGCCCTCCCTCGAGCCCGGTCGGCGGCCGCACGTGTTCGATTTCCGACCACGGCATCTCAGTCGAGCCCATTCGGCCTCTGCCTCCTGCGGATTGGTGAGAGGAGGAGGAGGAGGAGGAGGAGGAGGAGGAGGAGGAGGAGGAGGAGGAGGAGGAGGAGGAGGAGAATGATGATGAGGAGGAGGAGGGGCAGCAGCAGCAGCAGCAGCAGCAGCAGCAGCAGCAGCAGCAGCAGCAGCAGCAGCAGGAGGAGCCCTTCGGCGCGATTCTGGCGGCCCCGGCCCGCCGGAGGGCCCTCGACAAAGGCGCAGACGGGCAGCACCCCCTGGCAGCGTAGAATTCGACGTTATTGATCCGATTCGATGTCGATTCTGGCAGGCCCGATCCGATGTGATTCCATGTTCCGACGATCCGATGCGGCCCGAAGCTTGCATGGCGTTGCTGTGCATCCCGGCGCAGCCGATTCGATTCGATTCCGACTCCGTGCCGATGCAGCTGGACCCGACGCACGAGTCGGGCCGATCTGCTTTCACAGTTCGAAGCTGACTGACTCTGCATTGGATGCCGAGCACCTCCAGGGCCCCGAGCAAAACTTGTTAGAGCATTCCAGAGAACGGTCGCTGGCCGTCGATCGTCGGGGCCGTGGCCGTCGTCGTCGT